ATCTATCTATCTATCTATCTATCTATCTATCTATCTATCTATCTATCTATCTATCTATCTATCTTTGGGTTAGGGTACACACAACTCTGGGCAGTTGTAAAATCTAAGTTTCTCCTGTGATCACAAGCTAGATAGCAGGCTGTGTTGTCTTACATCATCTTTTTGTCTTGCACCATGGCCATATCTAATTTCTACTACAAGTGATCATGATTCTCTATTATTATGGCAAATGGCCACAACAAACAAATGTGGACTAAAATTGGGGGGGGGGGTGTTTTAGTCATTGCTCCTCTGTGGCTCCATTGATCACACCCTTAATATTAGAATTCAAAATATGATATTTTGTAATTTCTGAAGCCTCCTATGACTATGGAAGACACTTGTTTTATTACTGTGAATTTATCTTTCTGGAGGTTAGAGTAAGCTTAAAACCATCAAAAAGAAATTCATAGATCTGCCCTTTTCAAAAGCAGCCCTGAAAGAAACAATTTTTAAAAAAGACAGCATGTCCCTATAGAAAATCACTTGTTTTCCTGTAATTTGTAAATTTCTAGCTTCAACCTATTAAGTCCTCAACCTTTCCAATTATAAATCCATAAATGTCATTGCATGCATTCTCCTTTTCAAATTACCTGATAATCCTGAAACATCAGCTTTAGGTAGATGCCTGGCCTTTAAAACAACCACAGTGAGAGTGTTTGTTGTAGACTGATAACAAAGTGAGATCAGCAACTCACCACGCCCAGAAGATTTCTGCAGAATTAGAGAGATAAGTTGGTTCAGTTGTAACATTTAGAGCTGTTTCAAATCCAGTGATACAGACGGATTTCCAATATTCTATTTTGTAAACTAACTTTGCCATTAGCAACAAAGTATTTCACATTTTTGGAGAATGAATGAATGGATGAATCTATGTCTGTCTGTCTTCCTGCTATAGGCCCAAACTTCTAGAAACCTAGACGTGCTTATCTATTACTAAAACCAAAGGAACAAGTTAGTTGTAGTAAATCTGGCCCACTCAGTGCCATGTATTTCTGTCATCTCTCTCTTTACGTTACTAGATAAAACACATGAAAACCTGAGAATCTATGACAAATCTGGAAATTACTTTGAAATATGGTTTGGGCCGATTAGTACTTTCTTCCTGATGATCTGATTCAATTTCATCTGTTTTTTTTATCACAATTTGTTAAATGAGCTACAGTGATTGGGTTCACACATCATGCAGTGTCATACTTTTACAACCCAAAGTTTTGGAATGATCATGGCTGGAGTTACACAACTTGCCAAGTTACACTTAAGCCATATTTCATTTCAGAGAGATGTTTGAAGCAAACCCGAAGCTCCTCGGGCAGATGACAGCTGAGCTGGCTCTCAGGAAAAAAAAAAAAGCTTTCTATGATTGTGAAGCTTGGAGAAATATGACAGAGGTCCCAGAAATTGCCAGTGGAAGTTCTTTAATGAAAGCCAAGCACTTTTGTTACTTGAGATGAAGAACAAGAATACCCTTTCCCATTCCAGATGCAAAGCTGACTAGACTTTTAAGTTACTCATCTGCTCTGATCAGCAGGACAGCAGATTCCCAGCATTCGATGGCAGCTGTACTAAATGCATTTGAGGGTTTTAAACCTCTAATGGTTTTTATTGTCATCATTATTTGTCCTTGGATTTTACTAATTATTACTGTATGCCTTTGATTGTTGGTGGCAAAGCAGTCAATAGACATGACCAGTTAAAAGATGGTACCAGGGCTGGAATCTTAAGATGTCATGCACACCAAAGGTTGTTTAGTCTTCTCTTCTAGTTGGTACTTCTTGCACTCTTCAAATTATGCTGCTCGTTAAAGAACCTTGCCTTTAAAGAGTCACTTTTTTGGGAAAGGAAAGGAAAGGGACAAATATAAAAAATCTGTATGTTGGGCAGGTAGAAAATCCAGATATGGACCCCCAGATG